GGCGCCGGCTCTCGGGCGCGTCCGGCTCCGGCGGTGAAGCAAAGTGGAGCAGCCACGTTTACATGGGGTTGGGGCCGGGCTCCGACGGGATCTGCAGGAGCGCGGGGTGCCAGGCTGGGCTCCGGTCTCCCATAGGCGCTTTCCCGAAAGCGGGGTTTTAGCAGGACATCGTGGCCAGCCTTTCCCACGCTCCCCACTCCCCCCGGGCGATTCCCGTCCTGGAGCAAGACTGAGTCAGGCGGGGCTGCCCCTGCCCAGGCTGAACCCCCTCTGACCCGCGGGGAGAGAGGAGGGTCCCAGCTGTTGCGGGTTGGAATCGGGCCCTCCCGCACTGGGCGTTGTTGCCAGGAGCCGCCAGTCCCAGCCCAAAAGGCAGGTTTGACCCCCGAGGCTTGGCCTGCTACGTGCTGGGGGGTGACGGCAGAGGCAGGCTCCAGCCCAGTCCCGTGGTACTCTCAAGCTGTGACTCTCCCTCAGAGGGAAACCAGGAGATCAGGGCCTCAGTCCCAGAGCCCTCCTTGGGGATGGTCCCTTGACACGGCCAGCTGCAGGCTTCCTTGCCCCTCTCTCCAATCCCCCTGGCAGCGCTGGGTCCCCCACAGCCAGGAACGGCCCCTTCCTGAGCTCAACCAGGGCCTGGAAGATACCCAGAGCTAGACAACAAAGGCTGCGCTGGCTCGGTTTGCAGCTGCCAAGGGGCCGCAGTCCAGCTGGCGGCGCCAGCTGTCGGGCGCGTCCAGCTCCACCAGCGAAGCGAAGTGGAGCAGCCGCATTTACACAGGGTTGGGGCCGGGCTTTGACGGGGTCCGCTGGAGCGCCGGGGTCTAGCACGGGCCGGGCTCCAGCCTCCCCCAGGCGCTTTCCTGGAAGCGGGGCGGGGGCGGGGGAATGGGCTTGTCTAGACCTCGTGGCAAGCATTTCCCAGACCCCCTCCCCTCCCGCCTCCCGTCAGCAGACCCGCGGGGATTCCCCTTTGGAGCAAGACTGAGTCAGGCTGTGCCCGCCCTGCCCAGGCTGAACCGTTTTTTTTAAATATAAATTGTATCCAAGGCCAAATTAGCCAAAACTAATTTCAAAGCCAAGTGTCTGGAGGCTTGGGGTTCGGATGCCCCCGAGTTTTGCTTGCCCTTAGCCAAAAGGCACTTGGAGCAAGCAAAGGAGGAGACTCAAATTTCCATAAATTGGGCTTAAAGCTGGTGCACCTTGGCGGGTACTGAACCACACCAGAAGAGCAGTTCTCCTGCCAAGCAGTTCAGGAAAACTGCCTTCTTGGACACAAATACATGGTATTTCCCCTGCCAGGTTAAGAAGCCACTACGTTGGATGTGAACCTTCAAGGCTGAATGCCTCTGACTTGCAGGGCTGGGGAGCAGAGTAGCAGAGGCAGACTCCAGCCCAGGGGGTCCCGTGGCACCTTCAAGCTATGACCAACCAGCAGAAAATAACCAGAGGAGCAGGGCCTAAGTCCCAGAGCCCTCCATGGAGATGGCCCCTTGACATGGTCGCTGGCTTCAGGCTTCCTTGCCCTCCTCTCTAGTCCGCCTGGCAGAACTAAGTCCCCCACAGCCAGGAACAGCCCCTTACTGAGCTCAGCCGAGGCCTGGAAGATACCCAGAGCTAGACAACAAGGGCTGCACTGCCTTGGTCTGCAGCTGCCAAGGGGCTGCTTCCTCACTGTCTGGAACGTGGCCCCAGGTATGGCATGGACATAACAAGTATCCTAGTAGGTCCTAAGCTTGCTGTTGGCTGCACACGTCTGTACATGAGTGTGTGCAGAGCTTGAAGGCTAAACCAACAAAGCAGTTTCACAGGGAGGGGGAAACTGCTGGGCTGAGCAATGCATAGACTTGCCTGAGGTTACAGGTTGCTGAGAACCACAGACAGAGCCTCGGATCCCCCACCAGCTTCCTCAGAGCCTGTCCTTGCTCAGCCCAGCCCCCCTGCCCTCGGCACAGGCTGGGGGTCATGGTGGGTCGAGCTGTTGCCTGACAGGTGCATATATGTAACTGTTCCAGGAGCCCAGCTGGAGGTGAGGATTTGGCTCAGTGACCTGGCAGTAGAGTACGGCAGGGTCATATGGCTGAACTGCACATCAGTGTGCCTGGACTCTGACGGCCAGCATGGCCTAGAGACCTCTTCCACAAAGTGCTGGGTTGAGATGGGGCCCAGCTGAGTGGCTGTGGAGGTGGCCAATGTTAGCCAGTGGGAAGCCCAGGTCTGCTGCTGGGTTTCCTGCACCAGCGAGAGAAAAATGGTGTCTGCAGCTATCTCCATGTACCTAAGTGTCCCCATGTAGCCTGGCTGCTGGCTCTGGTGTCCAAGCAGCATTGAGAAGTGGGCAGCTGAGGGGGTAGGGTTCAGAAGAACTAGAGAAAGTTTCAGAGAAGGGTGGCAAGGAAGGTTAGCAGTAAGGGTGGCTTGCATATGAGGAGGGACTAAAGACTAAGCCTATTCAGTTTTTGAAAAGGTGTGCTTGAGGGAGGCATGAGAAGGATTTACAAAATACTAACAGATGAAGAGAAAGTGAATAGGGATTTAGTATTGACTCTCAATACAAGAGTGAGGTGTCACAAAATGAAACCAGCAAGTAGTTAGTTTAAAATTAACAGGAAGTTCTTTTTCACACCGCCTTGCTGTAAAATGTTAAACTCATTGTGGTGGAAGCTGAGAGTTCAGCCAGACTTACAAGGGATTGAACATGTTTTTGGAGCAAAGGGGCATCAGTCACTATTGAGCACAGGAGTGAGGGACACAGTTTCTGAATCAGACCTTCCTAGACCTCAAATACTGGGAACTACAAGTGGGAAAGGAACAGGGGGAAAATTCTTGGTCAGACCCAGTTCACTCTCCCTCTCCACATCTGTTTTCTGCTGCCCTGTGACACAGGCCTATTTGTTGCCTAGGGAAGGTGGGCAATGCCCACAAGGAAGTCCTATAAGCCTCCCTTAGAAGGGGAGGTCACTAGGTAGACAGCAACCAATTTCTGGGGACAACTAAGGACAATAGGGACAGAAGTGAGGTGAGAGGTTTAAAACTAGTGTGCCAAGGGGGGGGAGCACCAAGCAGGTCACCCCAGATGGAGCCCACTGGCTTTCAAATGAGTCCAAGGAGCCAATGAACACTGCGCAATGATGCCTGGAGACAGGATTGCTCAAGGCATAGGAAAGTGAGCTCGTAGTCTCTGGTCAATCTCCCAGGTACAGCCTCCTTCCTGGTGAGCTATACCACTAACTTAGCTAGGGCCAGAAGAAGGTTGACCAGGAGGTCCTGGAACTTGGTTGTGCCACAGATGGGGAGTGCATAAATAAACAGGCGAGGAGAGAAGTGCTGAGGTTCTGGAAGAGATGGTGCAGGAGCTGCAGCCCGATGCACTTCAAGTACGCATGTGCCAGGTTGTTTCTCAGCTCACAGAAGGGGCAGGTGTTGGGGGGGGTGTCTGTGAACTGCGCCCCCCCCAACAGCTCCATGCAAAAGCCATCCAGGTGGTTTGTGGGATCAGGGTGGAGCAAGATTTGTCCACTGGGGACCCTTGCCCCCACTCTCGCCTACGGTGTCCCAACACTTGTTCTTGGGATGGGATGCAAGAACGGCATGGTGGATTGCGCAGAGTACGAGCATGTAGAGCTGGCAGCAGTGGGCTGTTTGGAGGCAGATTGGCTTGGTATCCCCCAGCCTGATTAAATGTTGTGGTGGGGATTGCAGTGGAGCCTGCTGAGGCAGGGGCCCCTTGACGAGCTCTGGAGAGCTGGGGGATATGGGGGAGGGGGGTGGCGAGGACAGCCTTCACACAGGACCTGGTCAATGTAG